TACTACATTCCAAAAACCTCCTACTGCAAATATCTTTCTAGAAGGATCCTTTGAAGTTGAACGTTCATCTTCAGCTGAAGGCTTATCCAGAGAGAAAGATACTAATGTTCCAAAGCACAGTAAGTCTCTGACCCATCATTGCCCATGCTGCAGTAATTTTTTAAAAAGCAGTTTAAAATATTGGTAAGAGCTCCCCTTACTGGTCTGCCTTCAAATTGTTAAGTCTTCAGTCATGAAAATCTTTTTATATGAAACAAAGATGGGTAAAATATTGCTTCTACTCCAAATTAAAAAAAAAAAAAGCTCCACATCAAATTTCTATCAGAGACCCTATTTTTTAAATTTCTTATTAGTTATTAAGTCATAAGACCAAAGATAATGACTGAGTTTAGGAACAATTTGTTCTTCCATCAGTATGAACTTCACCAATTTACTGAATCCTTAATTTTGTATAGTACATAAAAGTAAGCCTTGCCGAAGTCTGAATTACAAAACAAACACGGACACCCAGTTCTGACATACTGAGTAATGCCTCATTTCACAGTAACTACCACCAGCTTTAATGGGATCATTTGTGGGATAATCAACGACTCAGTGTGGGAAAAGGAGCAGAATCTGCTGTGGAACTGGGAACTGCAAAAAGATTTATTACAAAAGCCTACTGTTTTCTTCAGTGGCCTAACTGCCCGGTTGGAAGAGCAAATATACCTCTCAGCCTGTGTTGGTTTATATGATTAAAGACTTGTTGATTATATATATATATGGTTTTTAGAGCCCTACTTTTGTAAGCTCAACCTAGGGGCTGACAGAAATTGGACACTTTTATGGTGACGACACCAACTAAGAAAGTTAAGATAAGTCATTTTAATGACACCAAGAAATACCATTATCTCCAATTCCCAGTAAACAATCCTGTTAATGCATAAAATACGTGTTCACTAGTTTGTTCTCACATACTTGAGGTGGCCCTACAGAGTTAACTTGAGTGAGAAAAGAACGGTAAAATCTGTTGTTATGCCACATTAAAAAAAATCAGAAGATAGGCTTTTGAATACACCCTACAATTCTGGAAAGACTGTAAAATAGGATTTTTTAATGTACAACAGCACTTGGAGAAGTTTTTGTACAGCACATCACACTAGCCATCTAGCTCTCAGCACTGTGCTACATAGAACAAAAAACAAACTATCATTATAAGCACAGTAAATTTCTAAACAAACAAAAACACTATCATTCTTCATTCCAAATGGATTCAGATGCCTACTTTTTTATGAAACAACACTGCCAGTTTAGCTACAAAGTCAAATCCGCTCCATCTGGGTTCTCTCAGGTAGAACAGTGGAATTCCCTGAAGCATTCTATTTTCTTTCAACAGTTTTCCTTCTTGAGGCCACATCCATTCTCTCTATTGATTGTTGGTTATTTCCTCCTTTACTGCACTGGACAATTATTCTCCCTAGGCTAACTGTTGTACCAGAGACAAGGAAAGGGGACTTATGCACTGGTAACACGCTAAGAAATTCATTATAATCCCTATCTATACTGACTAACTCAGGGTCATCTTCCTCGTGCTGCCAACCCCCATGTTAAAAAAAAAAAACCCACATCCTCCAGAATTAGCTTATCCCACAATTTCTAAAAGTATCTAAATATGTGACAGCATTTAGGCTTATTTGGTTTTGTGGTACACTATGGCTATATTACACAGCTTTCTTTGAAGACCATAATAAACAAACTTCAAAAAAAAATGATGCTTGAACAAAAACCAAAACACCAAATAGTGTAATTTTCAATTAAAAAAATGAAGTGCTATTGTTTTATTTTAATAGGAAGCTGCATTTTCAGTTTCCACCCCTCTCTTCCCATTTAACATAAATACTTTGTTTGCATTGTTCAAATTTTCTTACCTTGCTTGAGATCTCTCTCACCTTTCTGTCAAATGTTACTCTTTAGCTTCTGCATTTGTGTTAATGAAAGTAGTATTTATAAGCCTGTTCAAAGTTACAGTAACTACCCAAGAGCAACTGTTTACATCACAAAACACAAACAAGTGAACTTGCAAGCTAGCAAATAAGAAATGCAGTTCAAATAGGTGTCCTTTAGGTAATTATTCTACCATGCTCTTCCTCCAGCAGACAAGATACTTTCAACTCAGACTGAAAGTAAAAAGTGAAGCACCAGCTCAACCCTTAGCAGTGAAAGCCCATCAAGATAAAATTTGCTGCTTCAACAAGAAGCAACAAGAAGTCTGTCATTCAAGCCCTATTTTGCTGCTCAAGCAGGACCTGAGCAGAATATAGTCCCTATGCTAGACACCAGCAAAAAGTGAACTTACTAGCTACGGATAGAAATGTTAAGTTAACATATAATATTCCAAATACAGTCAGAGCTGATGTTCTCACCATACCAACTCTATTAGCAAAACATGTATATATTTAAACAGATCTCCTTAACCTTTTATTCTCAAATGCTTCCAGCCTTTAAAAAAAAAAAAGATATTCTTAACACAATGTTTCATTCTGAGCTCCACTCACGAATAATATTTCACACCTAAATGAAAGCCAGCGAAAACATTTAAAATCTGTAAGTGTAAATGTTAACTATCTCAAAATGTCTTGATATTTTTATAGTTAGTATTTACTTTTCTCCCATCTGGGGGAGAGAGATATATATATATATGTATTTTAAAAACATATAAGTTCCAGGATTATATACATTTAAAAAAAACCCAAAACTTTCTGGGTCCAAGTTTATTCAAACCCAGAAACCCTTGGGTGTTTTGGTTTTGTTTTGTTTTTTTAATACATCTACATACTGAAGTTCTAAAAGCTTCCTCATTGGATTTCCTTCACCATATACATGATTCAAGACCCTTTTTTCCCTAGAAACTACAAAGCACTCAGCTCCTTAAACCCCATAAGATGATACCAATTTGCTTCTTTATCTCTTTTGTTTATTCTTCCAGCATGGAATCAGTTAGGCCTGGTTACGTTGCAGGAAGGATCTAAGTCTTGACAGGTTTAGAAGTTAAAATCTATAAATACGTTTGTTCGAAAAAGATTGAGAATAATAAGAATGCATGCCTAACCGTTTAGTTTATACACTTTGGAACTTCTATTCCTCTGTATTACATATGCCATTTATCACTGCAAATATAAGCTAAAACGCAGGCAATACAACAATAAAGCTGTACAATTAACCAGGAGAAAAAGACAAGAACTGCAAGAACTTTATCATAGACTTAAAAGGAAAATCACAATAGAAATGTAGCGCTAGACATGCTAAATAGAGAGAAGTTTAACAGGTGTAATTCTAACGTGACTTTTCAAATACTATCATTTGAAAGAAGAGTGAGGGATCATTTACCTTTCATCAAGATCTGGATGGAAAATAAACTAGGATTCTAAAGAAAGGATATCAGATACTTTTAAGTAAATTGCATTAAGCTATCATGCCATGTTAAGACTACTGATTAGCTCTCCATTAAATGAGCATCCAATAATCTTCCACAAAAGAACAGTTATGAGGTCAATGTTTGACCAATCTCAAGAAAGAGGTAAGGAACCATAAGCCATTCAGAAAAGATTTCAACTTTTTATTTCAAGTGAAGTTGTGTAGCTGGTTCTTGATCTACATGATCAAGATCTACACGATTCATGGGCAAGCATCCACTTGTAAAAGAAAGAGATTAACAACTTGGATCAAAACCCATTGTTCTATACTGTCAGAGAGAAGGTGGGGGGGTGTACCAGAAACTACATGAAGCTAAATTCCACAGGGCTATTTGCTCATCCACATGAGCCGGAATACACGCAATTCTGCAGAACTTTCTTTGGACAGCTTTTTAATTAAAAACATCTAATGAAACTTTCTCCTGAAGCTTCCCTATTCCTGGGAAAAAAACAAAACAAAACCAAAACCACCAAATAATCTGATATCTACTGGGCAAGAAAAAAAGCAACGATGGGAGAGTCAGTAAAGAAAACTGCTCCTTGTAAAAGCCTTTCTATTTACATTTGTTTTTCCCCCAAAGATAAAAAGATGGCATCTACCTGATGTACACAAGCAGCTCTGAAAACCAAGCTTCCCTTTGAAGTAATAGCCTAGAAGTCTTTCATTTATAAATGATTACTTATAGATCCAATAAATTTGACTATTTTGAGTAGGAAGTAGGATAAGAGAAAAGGTAATACATGTTATTCTTCTTGTTTCTGTAATCTGTATCTGCCATATCTGTAGACAGAAATCTTCACAGGTTTTATCATCATGCACTAGCTGACTTACTAAATAAGCAAGTGTCTGAGATAGTGAGTTACAAATACAGTGTAAAAAAACCCTATGAAACTATGAGGCTTTTTCTTTGCAGCGAAGTGCAATAGGGGAGGAAGAGCTAAGCTGAAAAAAAAAACCCAAAACAAAAAAACCCAACCAACAAACCCAAAAAACCAAAACCAGCTTGCTTGCTTGCTTCTTCACAGGTAGAGCAACCAAGTCTTTATTTCCCCCTCCTGATCACATAGCTTATTGTGACTAGGTTATTAGCTTCAGTGGAAAAATACAAGCAATTATATCTAAAGGATTGGTCTCCCATTTCTGTTACCCCTTTAATTTGCTATTGTTGATATGCAAGTAATCAGTTTACAATTAAAATGGGGTGATCTGGGGTAATGGATTTTGTTGTCCCCATCCCCCTATATCCCCCTCCCCTCCCCTCCAAACTTCTCGTCCCCCACCACCACTCCCCAAACCCAGAACACCACAGAAAGCATAGCCTTGGTAAAAGAAGGCAAGTAGCATGGGGCATCTGTAAAATGTTGGGGAAAAAACAAACAAACAAACCCCCCCAAAACTCCCCACAAAACAAAAAGAAAACTCACACCAACTTTCATTTTGGTGTATAAAACCCATTAAGTTAAAGCAGTATCTGACCATGGCTTCAACTTATGGAGATGTTCCATCAAGCACAGATCATACTTCAACAGACATTCTTTACATTCTATCAGTCACACTATAACCATATTTAATCAATTCCACAGGAATGTAACATGTCAGAGGAGTTCATATAGCATTCCAATACAGAAACAATACTCTAATTTTTGGGTCATACCATCTTGCAAGATAAAAATCCTAAAGGAAAAACAGAGAGCATGCACCAAAAATTCTCTAGGCAAGTCCTCAAGTGTACCATTTTAAGGATTTTAATAAAGATACCATAATCTTTCAAAATGAGAAATAAAATCCAATTCAAGAGTATTTTGTCTATGCAAATGATCCATTTTCTAGAGTAGCCACTTCCATGTAGAACTTACTAACCACAGTGTATCTATTAAAACAGTAACAACCCAAGCTATTGAAATTCACTATCCCAAAACTCGCAGTAATCTCATTTCTCTGGTCTTTTTACTTCTGAGTAATAGGAAAAGAGTTCTGGTCCATTAACTCGCCCACTCTCTCCTGGAGGAAGTTAACCAACTCGGCTAATACAAAGACATGAGTTTCATCCAGGTCTTGTATGATGAACTTCTTTCCCAATGCATTTGACTCATCCAAGTAGAGCAGAAACTGCTTCATTGCTGGGTCACTGTAGAGACAAACACACATCACATCCCACCTCATTGTAACAAGATACAGTTAAAAACAAACAAAAAAAACCCCCACCCTTTGCAGACACTCCCAAAGTTCTTTGGGAGATTAATATTAATTTCAAGAGTTGCTCACAATTTAAAGGAAGTTTATGAAGCTTTTTCAAAAGTTGTTTCTTTCACAATAGTAATTGCTTAGGTTACTTTAGAGATAAAAATAAACTGATAACGAAGTCTAAAAAAACCTGGCTACTTGATTGGCAGAGAAGTGCCCCTATGCTGCTGTTAAAGTAGCTTAAAAAAAAACCAAACCAACCCAACCCTTAATGAAGCAAGTTTGAACTTACATTTCTATCTTCAGAAATAGCACCATAAAAACATGTTTTCTTAAAACACATTTTTGTTTAAAGGTAACCAAAACCCAGGAGAACATAGACCTCACTCATAGTATAGCAGAGAGAAAAAGTGGTCATGTAGGAATTGTACATTTATCACACCGTAACTGAACAGTCTCTTCTTTTTCATGATGTCACCTTGTAAGTTAAATTTAAGTGTTTAGAAGAAAACATTTTGGAACTATGGAAATTACAGGTAACTGAAACAGCTGCATTATACTAAGCAGCTAGATAAAATGGTTTCAAAATACAAGCTCTTTGATCTGTTGAAATTTTGAAGAATTCAGAAAATATTCTGATACTAGTTTTTACAAAACAGGAAAAATCATGCTCTTCGGTAAAACTTAGTATTTGATTGCAACAACTGGTGAAGAATATGCGCAAGAAATACAGGAAATTGGAATCAAGTAGCTCAGGACACTTTCAAAATTACCAACACAGTTGTTTTGGCAACATTTCTTAAAAAGAATTCTTAATAACATAGTAAATCTTAAAAGAATTCTTTGGCTAACCTTCTCTCTTTTAAATGCAGTATGAGGACCAATTCTCCCTTACCTAAAAGTATATATGGTGCAAAGACATGCACTATGAAACCAAACCCTTCCCCTGCCCCCTACCCAGCAACTCAAAAGACAATCTTTAGTATTAGCCTCAAACCTGCAGAAGCATGACTGGAATAAGATGAGTTTTCAAAGTACAAAGTAATTTTGAGGAAAGGAGAATGGGAAAGTCTGGAAGCAATATCTCCTTTAGAAGAGCCATTATTTATGTGCTCTGGCATGTAAGAAGAGAAACAAAGGAGAAACAGAAGAGCTGAGAAAAATCAGATACCAGAAGTATGTGGTTCCCAGCGTTCTTCCACATCCCCTTTTGGATGGGTGCAGGGAGGTTTATTTTTTGCTTGTTTTATTCAGCTGGACCTTAGTGACTCACATTAGTAGTACTAGATGGCATAAGCTTTTGTCCTAGCTGGTACGACCAGCTTGTATGATGTTAGGCAGTATCCAGAGACTGGGTTTCACACAATCAACATTCAGAGCTGTAATCAGCGCCAGTAGATGTATGCCACAGCAGAAACAATGATCTCATTACAGTACTTGAAGATTATAATCCTTGATATGGTGTCTTCAGAAAAGTTTAGCAATGTATTGGAAGAATATGGAAAAAAGACCTGCACAACATTTCACTATTTTATTTGCATAATTTAGACATTCAGAACTGTCTATTGTTTTTTCCACTCCCTATCCATTTGGTATCTTAAACATCCTCAGAAAATTGGGTTTTAAAAAAACTTGTATCTGAAGTGTAAACAAGGGGACAGGTTTATAGTAAATCTGCATCTTCTCCTAGGATGGAATTTTGAGCCAAATCATGGAGTACCCTTATGCAAAGGTGGGGAGAAAACAATCAAACAAAACCAAACCACCAAGAGCTAGCAAAACCAACTCAAAGGTCAGTTTACCAGGGGGCTGTTGAAACCATCTGATGGCATAACAAATGCTGTAGATTTGTTATCAGATAGAAAATTCCCTTCCCTTCCAGGGAGAATGATTAAGTTCCATGCTAACACTAAGTGGGATGTGGCCATGGAGCTGAATAAAAACACACAGAACTTTAGGTATGTGTAAAATAAACACATAAGGCACAAAATAAAATATTTTGCTAACTGCTTGAGATTTTAGAACTTCTTGCCTTGTCAGTCAAGAATTCTGCTCTGGGCATCTTTACATAGTTAGCTGCAGGCAGGCAATTTCTTATGCTTCAGAAGGTTTGGTAATGTACTAGCATGGAGCCAAAGTTGAGAAGACAGGCTTTTTGTTATAGAAGAGTTTAGGCTCTGAACTGCTCACACATAGCCATTAGACATCCACACTTCAGCTGGCTAATGTCCAGTCAGCTCAGAAGTTAGCTGCTGCGAGCTCACAGCTGTATGTGCCTACCATGCAGGCACATCACAAGAGGTTCAAAGTTCTTCTGCTTTTGTGCAGTTATAATCTGTTAATATGTTTACAGTCTAAGCGTACAGCAGAAATCTTATATGTCATATGATGCAATGACCCCACAAATCTTGACTGATGCTTCTTTTTACTTTGGAGGTAACCAGTTACCTGATTCTTAGTCTAGAGACTTCAGATTGCATGAGAGCATGTTTACTGCACATACATCAAAAGCTTACTTTTACAAGTGACAAGCATATTAACTTTTGAGTATGATCTACAAACAGAGACACATGTCAGCCTTGAACAGAATTTGGACTGGAGTTGAAAAAAAGACAGGAAAGAAAGGATGAAAGATTATCAATCTCCCTCTAGAATCAGTAAAGAAACACATTGATCATGAACAGCAACAAAACCCCCAAGTTATTTGTAAGCAATATAAAGCACATGAGGGAACATCTAATGGTTAAGCATAAGCAGAAAACAGTATCTTGAAAAGAAATAAATTAGTTTGGAATTAGGATTACCTACAATTGCCTCTCTCCTTCTTCCCCCAAAGGCCACATTTTTCTTTTGGCTGCTTGTTCAGCATCACCCCTCCTCACAACAATTCCTTTTTTTATCTAGACTTCTAAGTTACTTAGAATATTTCCAGCTCTAAAGAAATAAGTAGACTTTGACACAAGAGACAGTAAGTGCTGTTACTAACCATTCAATCAGAACACCTTTCAGAACATTCACCATCTTCTCACTTCTCCTTCAAGCGCTGAAAGGAAGAGGTGACAAGTACAACTCTTGCTTTGGATTACACACGCAAACAAAGGAAACCTGAAAGAAAAAAGAAACAACGCCTTGGTTGAACTCAGCGATCCTTCAAGACCACTCACCTCCCCGACCAGCAGCGCCGGCCGGCTAGTATTAGGACGAGCGGCCGGGGGCTTGGAGAGAGGCGCGCAGGGCCAGGCCGGGGCAGCAGGGCCCGCTCAGGTGTGGCACTGAGCTGTGAAAATTAAAGCCCTCACCCCTGAGAGCAGTCAGAGCAGCTGCGTCCCCCGCCAGCCCCGCCGAGCTCCTCCAGCGGCTGGGGGCGGCCACCCGGCCT